CCTGAAAATTTTTTTCAGGTCTTATTCCACTACTAGTTCAGAAGTGTTCTCAGCTGCGAGGATCTCTTATATTCAAATCAAGAACTCCTCTAATTGGTGATCACCTCCTTTGTTCTTGTGACCTTATCGTGTGTTTCAGGGGTGATACTGAAGGGAAAATAAGATGCTAGTCACTTCAAGGGGACAAATGGCTAAAAATTACCTACTATATCACTCCAGCTGATAGGGTCTCTTGGAGATTCATACATTAACAGACTTTACTGTTCCTCCTTGATCACTGACGCGCACACATCAAACGAATCTATCACACTATAAAACTTACTCTGCTTCCAGTTGTTGCAAAAAAGAAAAACTCCTGTCGGAATCTTGAAAATACTCCAAGTCTTCAGGGTCAAGTTCGTCGTCTTCTTCAACTATCTCATCGTCTACATGCACGTTTCTCGTGGGAACATTTTTACTAGTAGCTTTCCCTGTCTTTTTGCTTTTCTTACCTCCTTTCCTTTTCCTCATTATTATCTGATACTTCTATTAGAGGAAAGTATAAGAATAAGTGAATGTAATGATAACAGGGAAGAAAAAAAACTATCCTAACTAGCCGAGTTCTTTAATTCCGATCCAACCGCCATATTGAATAAGAGCCGTATAATCAACACGTGCTTGCAGCGTATAGCCGCACAGTAATTTTCTCATCCATGTATGCCTCCTCTGTGTGTCTCTTTCTTAGAGATACCGGAAGTTGGTCCAAATAAAATTTTAGAATCATTTTTTGCAACACTTGAGACAAATGTTGAGATTTGAACCTCCTTTAAGTAAAGATTCATACTTAAAGGCATCAAAAAAAAAATTATTTGATCGCCTAAAATCGTAAAGACGAAGGAGACATCGATGAATGCCGATCGTTTCGACATGTCACGTTAAGGACCGTTACGCTTATGAGGGTACCCAGTGGTCATCAGGACATGATCAGAGGTTACGCAGAATTGAGCACGTGAAATACGCGTGGTGATCTCAGCTTTACAAAAACTTATTCTTTGCGAGGAAATTCTGTGTTTTATTGGGATAATCCACTCATGATATTATTAGCTTAGGACAGGGGTGGCTCCTGCTCAGGGTTAGCTTATCGCTCTGATTTTCCTAATCTATCATAATCCTCTATTTCTAATGTCTTTAATTACACTCGTTTTTTTCTCTGAACAGCTCAGCTAAGTTACAAACAGGTAATTTAGTGTTAACAACTGAGTTGAAAACGTAAATTGGCCACCGTAAAGGGTAAAAAAGCTGACGTTTCGAGCGTTAGCCCTTCGCCATCGCTCTGACGAAGGGCTAACACTCGAAACGTCAGCTTTTTTACCCTTTACGGTGGCCAATATACGTTTTTAACTCAGTTATTAACACTAAATTACCTGCTATACTCTTCCACCGACGCAGCACCACAGTTTCTTTAGAAGCTTACCCTCTAAGTTACAAACACTTCATTTGATTTGATTTACTCTAACAGTGGGTTGTAAGTAGGAGAGCAGTCAAACTGGGATCTGTCTCTCCCATCCACTGCCTCCAGATAATTACAACATGCTAAGACTTCCAAAGAGCATTCACGTGCTACAGATTAAAGTTCATCGTTGACAAAATTCCCTACTCTTAATTTACAAAGGTTACATGGGGCCGCTGTCATCGCCCAAAAATGGCTACACTCCTGTCTTTCTTCAAATAACCAATCAAATCAGTAAAATCATACTACCCTTGACATAAACGTGGCACTGTGAAAGATATTTAGTTAATTAGGGAAAATCCCTTCGACGCCCTATGAATAGAAATATTAAATACAATCCGTTCTTCCTTTCCTTAACCAATCAAATAAAACCATGTTAAACTTGCCGTTCTGTGATAGGTTGTTTAGTTAGTTAGGATACCCTTTAAATACAAACAATCTCTCAGCTCACGCATCTACAGAGCTGCTACTGGCGGGTTAGTTGTTTAGGCTTATTTCTGGGATTCAATCATACAGGGACAATTTCAGTTGACTACAGTTAAAGATTCATGTTCATTGTACTTGAATTTTGATCGTAGATCTAAGACGACCCGGCCCAACAAAATTCTCCTACGAAGTTGATATTGTGGACTCTCTCTCAGCCGCCGACTCGCTAAGGTAATCAGTTTTCTTATTACTGTGGTAACCGTCGTCGTTAGATTCTTGCGCTCTTTTAACCTCTGAAAAGATTTCAAGCTATTTGCGAAGCGAATTTCGTTGTTGTGTATTTTTAGGACCAGTGTTATTCTGCGACAGGCAAAGATTTGTACTCATGTGTTGTACCAAAACAACGACTTCTTTCGCTTCTGCAATATTTGATTCTATAAATTCCCCCGAGGTTGCATCACCGTAATTTTAAAAAATTCTGTAAAGGGCATCTGTTGTTACTTAGTATAGATTAATCTCTAAGTTAGAATTTTCACTTGCGTCAGCGCGAACTTTCTAGAAAGTTGTACGGTCACGAAATTTGTTCATGTTGCATAACGTACTGGTGAAGATCGCATGAACCGCACTGTTAACTAACTCTGAAAAAGCATTTGTTGATATGTTTGTTAACTTTTTCACCTACGCTATCTCTGAAACCCCCTAGAATATAACATTTCTATGCATTTTGAGGCGTTTCGTGCCCTGAATAGACAAGTAAGTTGTTTGTCTTAGTAAAATGTGCTGAGGAAGCAAATTTTGGAAAAGGGTAATCCCCGCGGACAAGTAAGTTGTTTGTCTTGGTAAAATGTGCTGAGGAAGCAAATTTTGGAAAAGGGTAATCCCCGCGGAAAGAAAAATAATTTGCGTGAGTCATTGCTTTGCGACCTTCGAAATCATAACACACTGAACTAAATTTTATGCAATGGAAGCGAATTGTACATGTGATAAAGTCAGTCACATGGATCCACATTCAAAGTGAAACAATATTTATTTGAATGCATAAATAATAGTGGTGAGCTGTTTGGAGACAAGAGATTATATAGTCTTGTTGTATGTCACTTATACATAGGTATATTTTCCGCGAAAACTAATTCTTCTGGAAATCTATATACCCGGTGAACATATGCAGATTCGATACTAGAGGTTGCATTTACCGTGGAGTTGGAATTACTAATGGCACTAAGTGAATGTCCGTAACGAATCTCTGTATTCTGTTTACATGGTTACAAATTTACGGGCTTCATTCCGTTCGGAATTTCTTGTTAGACTTAAATTTTTCTTTTACATTGCTTTCGTTTCACAGGATTCAGCCCATCGAAGTACAATCTACATTTAAGGACTAAAAGCAGTTTAAGAGATTTTAGAGGCTTCGGAATTTCCGCTACCATAGAGGTCTAAAATTGAAGGTTTCAGTCATTGTAAGATTGACGCAGGTTTGTGCTCACTGTCACCAAGTTTCCGCGCTTCCGCTCGGGCGATCGCCTCTTTTCAATATTTATTACGGATTTACTTTTTACAATGCGTTCGTTCTCTTCTATTGCCGCGAGTTCGCTAAAACATTTCAGTTATAAGGGAAATTTCGTAAGGGACTGGTCTGTTTTGATGAAAAACCCAAAGCTGTTTTGTCTAGCCCAATAAAAAATTTGATGATGAAGCAGATTTTTTTCGCGGAAAATTCTCCATTAAACTGAGGAGTCGAATCACGCTGGGATAGAATTCCAGTTAACGAAATTGTAATGTACGCGTAGGCACACACGTAAAAAATCAGTGCATTATATCTATAATTTGGCAGCCTACTAACGGATATGAGGAAAACCCCAGTAAAAACAACACATATCTGATCATCGAGAGAAAACTCTGAAACAAGTCGCGTGATTTTATGTTTTACCCGAAGACGAGCTATCTTGATTCTGAGGGTGTAAGGAGAGCGACCCGTTTTTCAATGAGACTTACATTCGGTTCGTATTATTTTGTGACGTGATACTAGGTGACATACCATGCAGTATGTGACACACGAGAGTTGATTGGCTGACGATTGCGTGATATGCGTCTGAGTGGGGTGGGAACACAGTTACATAATTATAGCTGGAGGTATTCACGAAAGAGAAGTTCAGTGGGGCTGGGAGGGGAGTTTTCCCTGAAACCTCTGTGACCTATGAGATTCTTATTTATGGTCCCTCTACTTTTCAGTTCCTCGTCAAGCTGCCTTTGCAACTTACATACCTCTATGTTTTTCTAGGACATGTATATTAACAGGCTTCCACAGGAGTGCCTTGAACGCCTCTCTTGTTCGCTAAAATATGGTCCATCAGTTGACTGGGAAGCCCTCGCTTTAGAGGGATTTCCATCCATTTATTCTAACCGTCTAAAGTTGGCGAAAATAGGGAGCAGTCCCCACCCCGCGTCGGGATTACTTGATGATCTTTGTTGTCGAGGTGTAAGCGTGGAAACTCTTCTAGAGGCCCTGAAAGTGATTGGAAATGCACGAGCCGTTTTTGTCATCCTTGAAGGTGAGCTTTTTTCTTACTCCTGCTTTTTCTTGTTTCCTTTAGCCTTTTCTAAACATCTACCAGAAAATAACTAGAGGAAACCCTATGAAAAATCAGAGGATAAGGGTGGGTTACAACGTTTGAACCTCTCATTCACTGAGAGGGAGCTCTATCTGATTTTCTCTCCTCGTCATCTCAATGCCTGTAATCCTTATGCATCTCTGAAGGCAACTTCAAATTTCAGTTTCTAACGACTATGACCTCCTGACTATTTTGTACCACACAAAAGTGCATTTCCATTACGTGTCGTAAAGTCAAAAGTGGAGGAATCACACAGAAATAAGGAAATGTTCACGATGAGCTAATCAGAGGACAAGCAGGCAAACGACTTGAGCCACGAAAATTGCAAACGATCAAGTCACCATTACTTTTTATTTTTGTTTCTGATTGGTTGAGGATGGCGTGAGTCCTTTGACCAATCAAAAGGCGTGCTATAGCAAAAACAATGCAAACTTGGATTACTGTCGGCGCTCAGATGAAAACAAGTTACTCTTTCCTGTTGTTATCTGTAGGATCATAAAAATGACCTTTTTTCCAGAAAATACGCAATCTAAGATCTTTATCAAATGAATTCCATTGCATTCTTTTGTTCCTATCCTCATGATCAAACATTAAGTCTATCTGATTCCCTTTCTAGAAGTTCCAGAGTTAGGGAAAAACCGTATGGATCGTGAGACATCACCTCCCCCAGGAATCTTCTCTATGCAGCCTGAAGAGGTACAAATTACTTGTTTTATTTCTAGTCATATAAGAAGAAAAGGACAAAGTATCTGTAGGTTAGCTAAAAGGTTTTCAAGTTTCTTGGGGATATTTACGTTGACTCTTTTACTCATTTTTAATTACGATTAGATATAGAATAGCTAGCCTTTTATACATATACAAACAAAGCAAGAAGGACATGCGTCAAGAGGAGAGCAGGCCATGCGGGTCCAATGTTTCGGCTTGTTCCCGTTTTCGGGAACAAGCCGAAACATTGCACCTTCATCGGTCAATAAACTGCTGTATTTAGAGGTCCCTATTAAGAACATGTTTTGGTTAATTCTGTTTTTTAGTCAGCGAGGAATCAAAGAATGACATTCCTTCATCATGTAAAGGTAGAATATTAAGGAAAATCCCGTAGTGCATCAGTCTAATACCCTCGAAAATTTACCAGGGACACCAACCGTGCTGAAAAGCAGTCGTTCCCAGTTTCCACCTTTCGATTCAGCTGAGAACTTATCCTTAATAAGAAGATAATAAACTGTATTACAACCCAACTTTACCTCTTAACCTGATTTTTTTTTTTGCCCAAACTTGTGTTATCCATTTACATGTACTCTGAAGTGTAAAATGTTTAATACATCTCTTTTTAATTTGTTCTGCTTAGAACTACGATACCACGGAACAAACCGAAACATTGCGACGTCCCGCCCAAGAAACAAAGATCGAGAATCAAACGCCTTCCAGTCACCCAGTGAGCAATACTTCATTGATGGATTTGGTAAGCGCCATGTTTCCGTTGGTTGGGCATTCTAATCATTTTTATTGAGATTACTTTTTCAATTAACATGTACAATCTGAAACTAAAAAAGGCTTGTCGAAATTGAAATCTGTATGTTTTACTTTGTTTCTTTTATACAGCTAAAATGTTAATTAATCTGATTTGGTATTGAAAGTATTGTTGAAATACAAATCTATTTCTGTATCAATCCAAATGCATCTCTCTCTTACTCGCAATGAATTTCACCAACACAATAACTCATCTGCATAGCCTCTAAGACGTTTGTAATGTGAAAGGTAAAATGTTTAACACATCCTTTCTTTAATTTGTTCTGCTTAGAACTACGATACCACGGAACAAACCG